GCGCACGCTCCTGCCAGCCGCCCGCCAGCCAAGGAGAAGGCGGGGTCGGCGCCTGCGGCTGCGCAGGACGGGGGCCGAACAACCAAGTGAGGAGGAGGAGCATCAGCAGCAGGAGGAGGAGGAGGAGGAGGACCACTGCAGGCGCTGCAGCATGCTGCGGAAGTTCTGCTGCTCACAACTGTCTTGCACACCTTGGTTCTCGCCGGCGCGCGCTGCTGCAGTACCAGGGCCTGCCCCTCATTTTATCGAGCGGTGCGCTCCGAATTGTTTTTCTCGGTTCGTTGCCACCAAGACGCGACAGCTCAAGCAAGCCAACGATTGTCCAACGTCAAATGGGCCAGTGCAATCCCAAGACGCATCGATGTTATTGGAACAATATCCCTTCAAGTGCCTTCACAGGCCCCTAATATACTATATGCTCATTGCGGAAAGTGCCCCATTTGAAGAGAGCCGTCTGTGAATTTCCAGCCGTACCAAACTATCAGTCGTTGACTTCCAGCGCTGCGAATCATTGTGAGTAATGTGTCCTATCAACTTTGATTCGTGCCAGAAACCATTATTGGGTTCGCACCGTGAATCGACCTGACTGTTGCGTCGTGGCAATCCCATATCGCGCCAGCATACAATTCTTGGGACTTCAACCGTACGAGAACGAATGTGCGCGGCGATCTGGCGAGGCCACATTGTGAGATAGGAGCCGCCGTATACCCGTGAAACCGCTTCGATGCTTGAAGACGAATGTGCGCGGCGCACAGCGAGAGATACATTTTGAGAAGGATTTGCCCTCCATTTGCAAAACGGCTGCAGACTTTGAAGAGGATTGCGCGCGGCGCGAAGGCGAGAACCACGTGTGAGAACGACCAGCCCTCCATCCGCGAAACTGCCCCAACATTGAAGATGAATGTGCGCGGCGCCCAGGCGAGATTCACATTTGAAAACGGCCCGCTTTCCATGCCTGAATTCGTTGCAACTTTCAAGTTCCAGGATCACACATGATGAGGAAGTCTCAGGCGACACGCCCCGCCAGCCCTACCGACACGTCTTGTGGTGCGACAGGGGCGGTTCATGTACAACGAAAAAGGGATGGAGGAGGAGGAGTAGTCGGCGGCGGTGGAGCAGGGAGGAGGAGGAGGGTGAGGAAAAGGAGGAGGAGGAAGAGGAGGAGGGGGAGGAGGGGGAGGAGGAGGAGGAGGAGGAGGTGGAGGAGGAGAAGGAGGGGGAGGAGGAAGAGGAGGAAGAAGACGAAGAGGAAGAAAACACATATGAGGAGGAGGAGGTGGAGGAGTATAGGGAGGAGAGCTCGCAGCGCAACGAGAAGAAGAGGGCAGCAGGAGGGACAGTCGGCTGAGAGTAAGTCCACACGGAGTAAGTCCATGCCGAGTGTTCGGTTTCCGCCCAGACCCACCCCGTCTGGACGGGGCCTCTCCTGGCATGGGTCCAAGTCAGTGCGGCGCAAGTCCATGCGGAGTGCTTTGTCTCCGACAGGACGTCGCCCGTGTGGGCTCAGCCTCCCGTGATGCAGGAGGGGCAGAGGGTGATCGTTGTCCTGTTCATTGTTTTGTCGATCGGCGCGGCTTTTGCACACCCCAGGGAGTAGATGCTGGTTGTTTGTGGCTCCTGTGTCGAGCAGTCTCCCCAGTAGCACGCGCTGCTGCAAGCAGTCGCATCAACCAGAGAGCCAGAGCCAGACCCCCTCCCCTATCCTCCACGCCCCCTTCCGCCCAATATCAAAACTGGCCCAGGGAAAGCAGGTGCGGCCCTGCGAACGGTCATGTTTGTATGGCCTTTTGGCTGTCTGTTCACGCAATTATCTTGTTGCTTCACGTGGTTGTTTCGTCGAAGATCAAGGCGCTGCATACACGCAATCTTTCGGAGCTCCGCGCGGGATGTCTGGGATCTGCGCTGGAACCCCATGGCGTTGCCCCTGGCGTGCTCCGCGTGCTAGGGAGGTGGTCTCCACGGACCTCTGAAAGTCGCTGCGTATGATGACAGTTGTCCTTTTACTGTTGCTCCCGAGGCCTGTTCTTGTCAGCAAGCGCTTTTCTAGAGAGCGGGCGCCTTGCTCCTGGCATCGCTCGGACGTGTGCATTTTTTCTCGGCGAGGACCATCGAGGAGCATCCTTGATCATTTGGCGAAACAGCCGCGCACGAAACCGAAGAAAGCACAGGGAGTGGACGTCCGAGCGATGGCGAGTGCTTGACAAGACGAGTCGGCTTGTCCGACGCTTGCTGCCCGCACCGTTACCGGGGAAAGTCACCAGTCGCACAGACGCACCGGCAGGGGGGCCCAGCGCCGATCCGTGGAGTTCTCTCGGACCCCCGAGTTGTCATGTTTATCAGGAGGGGAGAAAACACAGACATTATTCATCGTCGATTCCCCAGAAAATATAGGAAAATGAGGGAAGAAGTGTGGGGGAAGACAGAAACCCAGAACATATAGGAAAACATGGGGAATCCTTTTATTGGTGTCTACTTATTTGTGTCCCAGGGCCCCTTCAGTTTATGTCATCGTTTGTGTTCCTGGTGTCGTGGCCTCCCCATCTGTGCTCGCCGAGCGCGTCCCACCGGTCGCAAAGCGCCAACCCGCAAGCGTCAAGAGAAGCAGCTGCGGGCTGGTGCAGTGTAGCTGATTTGCCTCGATGCAATCGATCCAGGCCGTTTGCGAGAAGCTACTTCAGTGGAGGCCCATGCCGAGAAACACCCTGCTTGCCTCCAGGGTGCCCTGGGATTCTTGGGTTTCGATGTCTTTGCGATGGAGAGCGCGACGTTGCCACACCAAGCATGACTGGACGTCCTGGGGTCTCAGGGTTGGGCTTCTTGTGGAAGGTTTCTCGTGGTCGAGCCCCCTCCGTAGCTTCTCAGAAAGGGGGGGGGCCCTTCTCCGGAGGAGGGAGGAGGAGGGGGAGGAGGAGAGGAGGGGGCCGCCGGCACCGCCCGTCCAGGCTCGCCAGCTTCCTCCTCCTCCTCCTCCTCCCAGATCCCGACACCGTTGCTGTTTCAAGGCGTGGGCCCCCGGAGGTCCCGACAGCTTCCCTGGGACCGATTTTCCCATCCTGAGTCGCTCTTCGACGGTCCCCGGGCAGGCCGAAGATTGCCCCAAAACCCCCGGTCGTGATTTTTTCACGACGTCGGAGATCTTCAGGAAGAAAGTTATCGGGTTGGGAGGATGGGGTTGGGAGGAAGGGGTCGGGAAGGGGTTGGGAGTGATCATTTCTCCCGACCCCATCCTCCCAACCCGATAACTTTCCTCCTCACTCGGCGAGGGGGCGAATCGGCGGGTCACAGAAGGATCTTCACGGCAGGGGTCGGCCAAGGCGTGATGCTGGAATGTTTCGTTTGTCGTTGTCGTGTTCTCTTCGCTCTCGTTTGAATTTAAATTATAGGGGCTACCATTGGCCAATCACGACTTTCGGAACTGCGCCAAAACACTATTTGTGGCAATCGGTCGGACCGCTTTCGTTCTAAACCGCTTCAAAACGAACTCGACACGAAAGCGCAAGACGTTGTTTTGGTCGACCCTTGATGCACGCTACTTCGGCCAGGGGGCGAGTCGGTGGCGCGCAGAAGGATCTTCATAGTTGCTGCCCCTCTTGGGGCTCCCCTGCGGCCCTCGTGGCCACTGCTGGACGCACTTCGGCAAGCTGGTCAGGAGGGCGTCCAGGAGGGTCCGGGGCCTGACTCTGAGCAGCAACGGGTGGATGAATGGGGGCAGGGCGATGGGCGAGGGTGGCGGCCTTCTGAGAAGCACTCCGCCTCGTAGAAGCCATCCCATCTTCCAAGTGCCCTTCTGAGACGCCCCTTAGACGGGGGCGATGATCCCTCCTAAGAGGCGCCCATGCCTTCTCTTCATTTACATCTCGGCTTCGCTACAGTCAGACCGCATCGTAAGGATGAGAAGCTTTCCAGTAGCACCCTTACATCCTTGACTCTCTGGCCCATCCTTAACCATTGGCTTTCAACTTCTGCTGCAACATGGGCGCCCCGGGGATCTGGTCGCGCTGTAGCATCACGGCTTCACTAACATGACGGCTTCACTACCACCTCGGCGCTGCGCAGCAGGACGGATACCAGCAGCACGACGCTTTCCTGCGCCCGCGACTCCAGCATCCATCAGTCCGCATCGTTCCAGATACCTGCAGCATGACGCTGAGCCTTGCGACGGGTCTCAGCGTTACGACGCTGCAAGACACGACGGATGCAGTACTCACGACGTTTGACATCCATCACGTGCAGAGCGTTGTCGTGTTCCAGTAGCACAAAACTGACCGGCACCACGGGTGTTGGCAGCACGATGTTGATCAGCTCGACGGGGTGCAGAATTATGATTCTGACATCCACTGGTACGCAGCACGACGGGCTACAGCAGTATTAGCCTATCATGACCTACTCTGGTCTGTTCTTCCCTTGCCATGTCTTGCCTTGCCTTGGCTTCTCTTGCCTTGCCTGGCCTCGTCTCGTCTCTCTCCGGTGCGTCTCGTCCCACTCCGTCACATCCCCTCCTGGTAAGTACTGTATGCCCTGACGTATTATGTCTTGGCCTGGCCTGTCCTGTCAGGCGCCGTGCTGTGCTGCGCTGTCCTGTCTTGTTCTGCCGTGTCCTGTCCTGTCCTGTGCTCTGTTGTCCTGCCCTGTCCAGTCCAGTCCCGTGCTGTCCTTTCCTTTCCCGTCCCGACCCGCCCTGTGTTGACATTTTCCCTTTGCGGTCCTGCCCTTCCAGTTCTGTCCTGTCCCGTCCCGTCCTGTCCTGGTTGCCCTAGGGGAGCTGGCGGATATGCATGGGTGCCCCCCCGGGGTCGCTCATTTCTGGACATCCACATGGAGCGAGGCGGCCTTCTCAGCCAGATCTTCACCACATATCTGTTTTGCAGGCATGCTGGCGGACCACAGTTGCAGAAGCAAGACAATATCGCAAAACGCTTGCTCATGTTACTCGTTTGGGTTCGGTTGCTGGCGATTGCGGACCGCACGCGCAGCACGCTACACTTACGACGGTGTATTTCGTAGTCCCGTGCATGTTGAGTCACTTTACGGCGCGCAGAACTAAGGCCTTTCGAACCGACGCGTTTCATCACCATGCGGGATCCATGGCACAGCTCATTCTGGCCATCGGCGTCTTTTCGAAGTGGGTTGATCATCATTGCAACCATCATCACCGTCGTCATCGTCACCATCGCTGTTGTTCTGTTCGAGGGCTTAGGTGGCGTGCCTCGCTTCTTCTCTCACTTGCGACTGCAACCCCAAGCACCAGTTCGTCGATCTCCTGCGCCGTCGATGGGGAAGAGCAAAAAGCACACCTGGTCCAGTCTGAATGCTCATTCCGCGCAGCTGAGCTCAGTCGCCAAAGGGCCTTCGCCATCGGATCGAGGGCCAGGGCCCTCCAGCGAGGGCATCAGCGAGGTCGAGCAGCTTCGAGTGGAACTCCCTTCCTACGGTGGGCCTGAGGCGTCGCCCCCACTGATGGAGGTGGACGCACAGTCAAAGTTGACAGGCGCAGAGGGCCCGTTGAGACAGAGGGTTGAGGATTTGCCAAGTGCATGGTGCAAGAAGATGCCTTGGATCGACGATCTCAAAGAGGATAAACGCCAGCAGGAGTTCGAGGCCCAAATTGCAGGGCTTGAGTCCCAAATCAAAGACCTAAAGACCAATAATGCCAAGCTCGAGGAGCTGCAGCGTGAACAGATGTCCAATTTTGCGAGCCTCACGACACAGAAGCATCAAATGGAAGTCAGCTTTAAGCAGAAGATCGCGGCTATCACTGAACTTAGGGCCGAGATAGCGAAGCTCAAGAGCACGCATGACGAGCAATCATCCACTTTAGCCAGGATCGCTGCGAAGAACCATAAGCTTGAGGCGGAGATTGCAGATCTGAAGTTTCATAGAAAGCGAGTGCATCTTGAGCAGAGCCTGCCCGCCTTCGCGGAGCGCGCGCACGATCCCCAGTTGCAGAGCGAACCTTTCGTGCAGCAGCGCGCTCCAGGACATTGGGCAAATTGCACAGGACCAGACAACATTTGGTATTCCAGGGGGGCTGGTGCCGTGGAATTGACAGGCTGCCCTGAGCCCTGGAGCTTCATGAACGGCACCTATGTGCAATCGCCCTTCCACGAAGTTCGCGGGACAAAGGCGTGGTGGAAGATCAGCGGAGATGTGGTGATCTACGTGGCGGATAGCACCGAATTCCCCAAAGGTCTCTGCATGCTTGGAGTGTCGCGACAATATGCGAATCGCCGACGTAGGATTGAACAAGGAAATCTGTTTTACTATGTCACTTGTCCAGGCGTGGTCGATCTTAGAGAGGTGCACAACAGACAATGGAACGTTGTCTACCAGAGCGGGATTCTTGGAGTTGAAAAGTTCACAACCCTGGTGGCTTTGCCGCCAATTCTCAAAAGAGTCGCTCCTTTGATGGAGATGTCGTTCGAGATGTTGGACGAAACCACGTTGAAGATGTTTACGGAAATCATCCAGCAAAGTGTCCAGCACCAGACTCAGCACGAAGGGGCGAGCAAGTGCGACAAGTTCAAGGAACGCGCCAGGGTAGTGCGGGTACTCAGAGTGGAAAACCTTCGGCTTTGGATGAGGTATCAAAGCTACCTCGAGCAGGTAAGAGAAGACGTGCTGCAATGTGGCATCGGGACAGATCCAGATCTACACCAGAGCTGGGCGAGCATGAAGGCTAGCTTGCCAGAGGATTTCGGGGACTTTGAGCACGATGTTGCCGAGCGTCTGCTTTTCCATGGTACGGATTACAACACAGCGGTCACGATTGCAACCGACGGTTTCGATTTCCGCGCAGGTCTAAAACATGGTTGCTTCTATGGCCGGGGCACCTACTTCACCAGCCAGGCGTGCAAGGGCCACCAGTACACAGAGTCATCTGCGAAGACAGGCCTGCGCGCAGTGATCCTCAGCCGTGTTATTGTCGGCGATGTGTTTTGCACGGACAGGGTCGACACAGAGCTCAGAAGGCCGCCGAATAATGAACGCACGGGGCGCCTCTACGACACAGTGGTAGCAAAGCCCGGCCCTAAGAAGGGGCTGGATGGGTTGATTCACCGGCAGGCCCACACAGAGTTTGTCATATTTGAGAAATATCAGGCGTATCCCGAGTTCATCATCCAGTACACCTGCAGTCACTGAGGTGCCTTCCCCCACCAACTGCCGGCGTACCATGAAGATGAAGCGGACTCTTTTCGCTACAATAAGAGTATTTCCTCACATTCTCTCTCCTATCCCTTACTCAGTCCTTGTTGGTCATCCTTTGACCTTCTCCAGCTACCTGCGGCAATCCCCGCCATCGCGCCAGCACAGCATCGAAACGTATTCAGGATATTTCTACCAAGCTCTCCCGAATAATGATGTTACAGTGTCCCCGCGTGCCCCCAGGATGCTCTCGGGCCGCATTGGGCGCAACGGTTCTACCGAGCTCTCCCGAGAACGCCTCTGTAGAAGCATCGTGGGGCCATCTTGGAAGCATGGCCAAGATGCTGTAGCATTGCGTGGCCGCAAAGCTGCACGGTTGTTGTGTTGCTTCTTGGGGGGTGCTTAGAGGTTTCTTGGGGGATTCTTCGGGACTTGTTGGGTGCCTCTCGGGGGCTTCTGGAGGGCCTCTTGGGGACGTGTTCGGGGTCTTGGGGCCGTCTTGGGGGCGCGACGGTTTTACCGAGTTTTCTCGAAGATGCTTGATAGAACCATCTTAGGGCCGTGTGGTCGGGCCTTCTGAGGTTCACTTAGACTTTTCTTGAGGTCATCTCAGGCCGAAAATTCCAGGAATCAAGATCAAGCGCGAGACAGAAGCACGATTATCGTTGTTTTTGGTATCCCAGGGCCTTGCTGGACGGCTCAAGAGGCGCCTCTTGATGGCCTGTTAGGGCTCGTTGGGGCCTCTGCGGGGCATCTTGGGACAGCTTGGGGGATTACGGGCCGTCTGAGGCCGGTCGCCAGGTAGCAAAACGTACGGGGGACGATGTGTCACGCGGGTCTGCCAGTAAGGAAGGGGCGTTTCTAGGAAGCTACAGAAGCCTTGCCAGACAGCTGACAGGCGTTCTAACACGCCCTGGCGTGCCGCAGGCACTGTGATGGACTGACCTGGGTCAGCATGGCAATCGAAAGCGCGCCTGTCTTGCCATGTGAGCGCCTGACTGTTTGCGCTCCCCTGGCCTTCGCAGCCGCGGGCCCGCACGGCAAGGAGGGCGTGTTTTGTTTGTGTAACGGAGCGTTCCAGTCAGCCAGTGCCGTTACCGAATCAGAACTTCAAAATGAATGAACGGGAGGGTGTCTGATTTGGGGGGTCTGGCTCGAGCTGTCTTTGCGAGAGGGGGCGGGTCTGATCTTAAAGCTCGAATGTGTCTGGCGGGAGGGAAGTCAAGTCTGATTTGTCTGGGAGGTGCTGAGAGGGCTCTTCCGTTGTTGTTCCATGAGTTGGCCGTCAGGGGGGGGGGGCCTGGATCACTTCGTCTGGGTACGGCCTGGTGGCGTTGCTTTTCGATAGAGGTGTCCCCAGACGGGGGGAGTCTGAAATGGCTCGTCTGGGAGGGGAGGGTTCAGCCCCCCCTTTAATTCTGACATGTGGACCTTGCCCAGGCTGTGGCGAAGCCATCCAGTCCCTGGGGCAAATAGTCCTGCGGCTCACGTGCATAGCGACAATCGCAGTGACGATTTTTACTCACTTCCATGGGTTGGCAGCGGCGGCGACAATCAGGGCGCGAGTCCCTCTGGAACGCTTCTTTTTTGTTCAATGTTGCCCCTTGCGACTCGTGGGGGCTTAGACGCTTAGACATCCATGCATCTCGCGCCATTGCCGTGGGCGCCACAAGCGCGACTTGGGCACCCTCCCGTTACAGGGGATCTCCACAAGCTGGTGCAAGAGCATTTTCATGATGCGAAATGTTGCATCCCTTCCTTGGCTTGTGCTATTGTAGCACTGGCAGGACAGTAGTGCCATGCTCGTGACGGAGGAGGAGGAGAAGGAGGAGGAGAAGTAGGAGGAGGAGGAGGAGGAGAAGGAGGAGGAGGAGGAGGACTGGCCTCCACTGTAGTGGAGCGCGCTTGTCTACTTTCCCGCCTTCCGACCGCGGCCCCTGGCCCAGGCAGTCCAATCCGGCTCCACAGAAGGCGCCGCGCAGCGCCGCGCGCCACCGTCGAGGTCGTCGCTGTCGTCGTCGCCGCCATCGCCGCCGTCGTCGTCGTGGTCGTCGTCGGCGTCGGCGTCGTTTTCGTCGTCGTCGTTTTCGTCGTCGTCGTCTTCGTCGTTTCCCTCGTGTTCGTGTTCGTGTTCGTGCTCGTCGTGTTAGTTTTCGTCAGAGTAGGAGGAGGAGGAGGAGGAGGAGGAGAAGGAGTACGAGGAGGATTGGGAGGGCCGAGCGATTAGGGGAGGAGTGGGGGAGGAGGGAGGAGGGACGGTGGGACGGAGGAGGAAGGAAAGAGGGAGGGAGGGAAGGGAGTGAGGAGGGTAGGGGCCGAGGGGATTGGGAGCAGCAAGGAGACGGTGGAGGGAGCGAGACGGAATGATGATTCAGGAAGGAGGGAGGGACGGGCGAGGTGGTCGAGGGGAGGCGGGCACGTTCCGCGCGTTGGCGCCATTTCTGACATCCGACTCCTCCCAGCCGTGCCTTCCCACTGCGCTGAAGTGTGCTCCATCCGCCGGCTGGGCCGGCTCAGGTGACCCGGGTCCCCGAAAGGACCCCATGGGGCGATGCGCAATCAGCAAGGGGGGCCCTTTTCACAACGGACGAGGAGGAGGAGGAGGAGGCGCCTGGAACCAGGGAGAGTGTTTAGAGTTGCACTGCTGACGCAATGGCTCGAGCTCCACAAACCTCATCGCTATCGGCTCTGCTGCCACAGCTGGTCGCGGAGCCCTGCGGGTGAGCCGTCGCGCGCGGGAAGCGGGGGCGGCCGGCGCCTGCGTCGAGACCGCCGCGTTGGTGGGCGGAGGCTAGACGGAAGTCGAGGTGGCACGTTCCGCAGCAGATTCAGCGCTCTCATTGGCGACCACAACTGCCGCAGCTGCGGCGGCAGTGGGGGAAGAAACAGCGACATCAGCATACACTTTCCACGGTTTGCGCGGGTTCCTTGGATCTGCGTTGGAGCCCCCTTCCCTGGCGCGCTGGGCGCCGCCGGAGGCACCTCCAGGGGGGCCAGCGCGGATCCAAGAAATCCGCGTGGAGCGCCGAAAGTCTATGTTTATGTATATTTTTCTCTTTCGAGCCAGCGTCGTTCCGTTGGCCAGATGCTCCCTGGAGCAAGCTCAGTTTGGCAAACGCACTAGCGAGGTCAACACGTTTCAAGTTCAACATTGGTCTTGATCGCATTCAAGAGTACAACCACCAGTGTGCACCGCAGCAGCGGCAGCGTTGTTACATTGGACGATTGCTGTCTGGTGGCCATGGCGAACACACCTGCGAGAGCACCTTTCTTCAAGGACAGAGAGTTCGAGCAGCTCATGTCGAAAGGCATCTCGGACTCGTCCTAAGCATAAGGGGGCACTGTGCGCGACATCGCCTGCCCCAGGCCTACACGACATCAGGGGAGAGAGGAGCGCAGCATCCATGTCGAGGACTTGTCGAGGAGGGGGAGGGGGAGGAGCAGGGGGAGGAGGAGGAGGAGGAGGAGGAGGAGGAGGAGGAGGAGGAGGAGGAGGAGGAGGTAGAGGAGGAGAAGGCAGGAGGAGGAGGAGGAGGAGGATGAGGTAGAGGAGGAGAGGCAGGAGGAGGGTGAGGTGGGCTGGGCTGCACTGGTCTGGCCCTCCAGAGACGGGGGCCGGTGCTCTCGTGCGCGGCCGCCTCGTCTTGCGTGGGGGCGCCGGCGGCTGGGGGAGGCGGGGTCCGTCGTGCGCGGCCTCCGCCTCCCGCACTCCGAGGGGGGGGAGCAGTGGCGAAGCGTCAGAGCCCCGAATCATCAGGGGTAACTCGGGTCAGGGTTAACTCGGGTTCGTTTTTCGGGGATCCGAGCCCGAGTTACCCCGGACCCGAGTTGCCCCGGATATTTCGGGCGTCCAGAGCCCCGAATCATCAGGGGTAACTCGGGTCAGGGCTAACTCGGGTTCGTTTTTCGGGAATCCGAACCCGAGTTACCCCGGACCCGAGTTACCCCGGATAACTCGGGCGTCCAAAAGCTCCCTCGCTGGGTAGTCGAAGGCCAGACTGTCAGATTGGATTGGGCCCCCAGGGCCAATCTGGCCCGGCCACATTGGAGGATTCGGGTTGTTCGCCAGACTGGATTCGCGTTGGCTCCCTCGCCAGATTGCCCCCGTTTGCCAGATTGGGCCCGCCAGATTGGCGCCAGATTGGCTTCGACTACCCAGGGGGGGGGAGCAGTGGCGAAGCGCCCTCGTTCGCCTATCGCCCTACCATTATGTCGGGCGTGTCCCCCTACAGGGGGATTTTCAACGAAGAAAGAACAGATACCCTAAAAATGCACCAAAAAGTTAGAATATACGCCAAAAATTGTTCCCAGACTATTCTTGGACACTTTTTCATTTGTTTTGTGTATTTTTTATTTTTCGTCGAAAATCCCCCTGTAGGGGGACACGCCCGACATACATATAGCCCTACCAAACAATGTTCTAAGAACCTCTTGCGAACGTTATTAGGACAGATCTGGTTGAGGTTGTCTTGTTGTGACACATCGGGATTATGTTCTAAGAACCTTTTCTGGATTTTGACACATCGGTTTCTGACACATCGGGACTATGTTGTTGTGCGTAGAACAGTTTTGGGTTCTGAGAACATTTCGTGGTAGGACTATAGGAATGCCGGGACGGTCGGTCCCTGCTCAAGAGGGGGGAGCGGGTCGTGGCTTCGTTCGAACGTGTGCATGTTTGTTTTGTCGGCGAGGACCATCGAGGAACAGACGGGAGCATCTGACGGAGAATGCACGCACCGAACCGAAGAACGCACGGGGAAAGTACGTCCGGTCGGTGGCGTGTAGTTGGGCCACTGGCCCCGCCCCCCCCCCCCCCCAGCTCCGTCCCGATTTCAGGCAGTGGCGCGTCGGGTAAAAAAGGCCAGGCCGTAGGAAAGGGCATGGGCCAACCGGAGGAGAGCCCCAAGGGCCTCTGCGAGCTGAGCTCTCGCATGGCCTTCCGAATTAGGCCGGGTGAGGGTTGCGTGGCTGGGAGAAGAGACAATGACATAAAGATAACAGTTCGGAGGCCCACACGGAGTTCTTGGATCGGCGCTGGCTGGACTCCCCCCCATGGCGCGCGGAGCCCGCCAGGGGCGCCGCCAGGGGGTCAGCGCCGATTCGAGGAATCCGCGCGGACCTCTGAGTCTGTACGTTTATGCCATTGCTTGCTCCCGTAGTGGCGCAGCATCGGAGGGAAAGGGGGGATCACCGAGCGCGTTCCACTACTCGCAAAGTGCCCACTCGCAAAAGCCCGAGGAACACATTCCTACTTCGATGCAATTTCTCGTAGATCCCCCGCGGCGGATTCAGGCCATTTGCGAGTATATACTTTGCGAGTAGTGGAACGCGCTCGTCCAGGGGAAAGCCATCCCAAAAGGGGCCAGGGGGGGGGAAGGAGGGGCCTCTCCACCCGTGCCACTGCGTGCACAGCCTGGTTCTGCCGGACCCTCCAGCTCCGGAGGGGGGGGGAGGAGGGGCGCAGGCGAGGAGGACGGGCCGAGCAGAGGAATTTGCGCGGTGTTCTATCATCAGGAGGGGAAAAATAACACGCAGACACTCATCGTCGATTCCCCAGAAAATGTGGACAATTTTTGACGTTTCGCGTATCCCCACCAGCATCCGTAGCCTTGGCTCAAGGGTCAAGTTTGAGACGCTGGAGTATTGCTGCCTGCAGCTGTTGCGCCCCTCGCTACCTCTCGCAGCTCACTCCTCGTACACACGCAATGGCAGTGTTCAGCATGATGGTCTCCCTTCCCGTTTTGCCGATGCTCGTGATCGTTCTCGTGCTCACGACTTGTGCTGCCATCGAGGACATCTGGCTCTTCGGCATCGAGCCCTACACCATCGTAGTGCCGGTAGGTTTGTCCGTCCAGATCGGCAAGGAGTTGATGCTGGACGAGATCAACAAGAAGGCCGACCTCTTGCCTGGCTACAGGCTCCGTGTGGCACATCAAGACGGACAGTGCAGTGCCGACCGCGTCTCCAACATGTTCTTGAGCAACCTCTTCAAGGATACATACGAAGTGTTCGCGCCCAGGGTGGACCCACTGACTCTCAACAGAGACGGGGTCGGCGCGGTCTCGTATGACGACTCGAGCATCTTCAACGAGGTGTGGACCTCTGCAAACATGTCTGGCGGGCCCGTTGGCCTCATCGGAGGCGGGCGTTCAGGGGGAACCATGGCCATCAACAATGTCGCTGACATGGCCAACGTTCCCATCGTGTCGGCGCTGTCCAGCAACCCAGGGCTCTCCGACCGCAGCAAGTATCCGAATTTCTGGAGGACTGTCATGCCGGACACCCAGTTTGCTGGAGCATGGATGGCTACAACGAAGGTCTTGGGCTTCTCAGACATGACCGTGGTCATCGGCGAGACGTCAGTGAGGACCCCCCACGCTGCATCCGTGCTGAGGCAGTCAGAAGCCCACAGAGTGGCCCTAAAGGGCGTGGACCTCAGCGAGGAGTTCGAGTGGCATGGCGAGCCCCTAGAGGGCTTCGCAGGGTACCAGGTGCCGATCAACTCTGTTACTGCTGCATTCGAGGCCGCGAAAGGCATCCGGCAACAGAACCGCCGGATTGTGCTGACCATGATGTATGACGATCGGCTGAGGATGCTGTTCTGTGAGTGCCACAAGCTCGGTTTGGACAACTTCATTTTCATGGGTCCCGGCTGGCTCGGCGACGGGTTCTGGCGCACAGCCGACGACACAGAGTGCTCGATTGAGCAGGTGACGCACCAGGCGAAGGTTTGGATCGTGGCTGACGCGCGGTTCTGGCGCTCTGACATGACCACTAGGCTAACCTGCTCGGATGACATGACCGCCGCGGACTTCCAGGCCAAGTGGCTGGAGAGCCAGCGCATCAACCTCACGACATTCGGCGTTAAGGCATCTTGCCAACCCACTATGGGGCAGTGGCTGCGGACGCCGTCTGCATTTTCGCGCTCATGCTGCACACCGTTTTGTTCGAGGCGGGCCATTCCCTGGAGGACCTGAGGCAGCGCAAATCGGCGGTGTATAACGAGATCCAGGAGATCTTCAACAGCACCGACTTCGAGGGGAACAGTGGCCGCATCCGCTTCGAGCCGAACTGCCCGGATCCTGCCAGCTCCATCATAGTCCAGCATTTCCAGTCCATCCGGGAGGACTACGTCGATATCGGGGAGTACAACGCGGACGGAGTGCTCACTTTCTTCGGAGTTTCCGACTTTGAGTTCAAGATGCCTGGAGATATCTCTGTTGCTGGGCCTGTGGATGCTACCAGCCTTGCTGGTCAGCCAGTGGCCTTCGACACTTGTCCTCACGGAATGATTCTGAACTATGCGTCAAACGTCTGCGTGCACTGTGGTGACTCAGAGGTGTTCGTTGATGCACTCGGCGGCTGTACTTGTAAGGCTGGCTTCGTCTCATCGACGGAGGGCTGCGTCCCTTGCGAGGCGGGCACGCACGTCGACGTTGTCGGGCAGAACGCCTGCATTGACTGCGAGACCGGTAGGTTCAGCGACGAGGCCGGTGCCACTGCGTGCGAGCGGTGCCCGCGGGGCTCTTTCGCAAACTCCACAGGAAGGGCCAGCTGTACCGACTGCCCGCACAAGGAGTCCGGGAAGACCACGGGTGGCTTGGGTACAGAGTCAGAAGAGGACTGCCAGTGTGGGGTCGGCTCCAAGCCGGTCGCGAGCGATGGCAGCTGCGATGCGCGCGGCGAGGAGGATGAGACTGGCCTCGTGTGCCTTGGCAACGATGTGGTGGAGGTGGCAGCAGGCTTCTACGCGGCCGACGAGTCGCTGTCCGTGTTCCGTTGCTACGGCAGCAACCCCACGCTGCGCTGCCGTGGCGGTCTGGCAGGCCAGACCTGCGCATCTGGCCGCGCTGGCATCAGCTGTAGCGAGTGCCAGGAAGGCTCGATGCCCAAGGAGGACGGCAGCTGTGTGCCGTGCGAGGCAGAGGGCAATAGCTCGACGGCCCTGGTGCTCGTGGTGGTCGCCCTCTTGGTGGGCCTCTCCGCTATGTACGGTGTCATCGACAGGTTCAATACCGCGAAGTACAGCTACGCCATGCTGCTGCCGCTGGTGGGAAGCATCTTGGTGACGATCGTGCAGCAGCTGGCGGTGCTCGGCGCTTTCAAGGCCGTAACCTGGCTTGCGCCAATGACTGGCTTCCTTCTGGGCCTCGAGCTGGGAACTTTGGACGTCGAGTTCTTGAACCTTGGCTGCGTGGGACGGATCTCCCCCCTGGGCCGCTTCATCGTGAAGCTGCTAGTGTTCTACAAGGGCAGATTCTCGGACAGGTTGCACATTTTGATCGCCTGTCTGGGCTCATGCGCCACAGTCTTCTACATTTCTGTGATCTCGGCCGTGCTTGGACCGATACAGTGCCTGAAGAACCCGAATGGCAAGTGGACAGCTCGACCCTTTCCGTCTGTCGTTTGCTGGGAATCTGATGAGCACTCCGTGATGGCCGCCATCGGCGCAATCGCTCTTCTCATCCCGATCGGCTACCTGGTCCAGTGCTGCTTGACTGCATTGCGCTTCCCTAGGATGATGAGTGAGGACCACGCGTCCTACCTGCAGTCCTACGCGTTCCTTTTCTTCCGTTACAAGCCGGAGACCTATTGGTATTGCCTGGTGCAACTCCTCCGCAGCTTGCTGCTGGCGGTTGTGCTGGCGCTCCCTGACGTCGCGTTCCAGCTGATGAGCATGCAGCCCATTCTGGTCCTTCAGCTCTGCTGTGTGGTGTACTACCTGCCGTGGCGCGTGCCTGGATCCAACTCCCTCGATGCCACGTTCACGGTCGGCGTGGTGGTGGTGCTGGCATGTGCTTCCTTCTATGTAGACGCACACCCAGGTGATGTCCTGGCCTGGCTCTCCATCGTGTTGGTGGCTATCATGCTGTGCTCGATGCCCGTCATCGGCGCAGTGGTGCTCTACCGTGAGCTGACACTCAGAGGCGACAAACCGTTCAAGTTCTTCATTTGTCACGGCATGGCTGGCGCTGGTGCCTATGCGCGTCTGCTCAAGATGCACATGGAGAAGAGGGTTGTCAGGGTAGGCATCGACAATGCTTGCGCTGGCGCCAGTCTCGACACCATCATGGACCAGGTCGGCACGCAGACCGAACGCTTGATCGTTTTGGCGTCGAAAGGCTTGCTCCAGAGGCACAGCTCCGTGAACATGACCATGACAGCGAAGCGCAAGCAGGTACAGATGGCGAAGGTGACAATGCCCGAGTACACCGATCCAGAGGAGGAGTTCATCAATTCGTACGAGACATACTTCAGCGACTTGTCGGTGCTCGCCAATGGCGGCTTCGCAGTTTCGAACGTCAAAGATGCCCTGCGCTGGTTTTGTGGCCTCCAGGGAATCCCTGCGAGCCGGCAGCTGACCAGCACCTCGCTCGAGGAGATCTGCAGCGAGCTGATTGGGAAGGCTGCGCCGCCAGCGAGCGAGGCTGGTGGCGATCCGCCCCCAGACTTCGTTACTGTCATCGTGCACGACAGCAATAATTTGGAGGCCACCGCCACTGCCATGGTCCTGGAGCGCATGTTGGAGCCGTCCTTCGGGGCTGGCAAGTCGCCGAGGGTGCTGTCCGCTGGCCAGCCTGTGCCCTCTTCGGCCAAGCAGGTCATCCTCCTCTGCGCCGACGGCATGCTCCTCTGAGCAGGAGGCCCCACTTCGTACAATTACGTCGGCGTCCAAGCTTTGCGCGACTTTCTTGCCCGTGCTGGCTGGGGACGGCTTCCGCTTCCCGCCCTCCGACTTCGCTCAGAACAACGAGAAGATCCTCGAGCAGGAGGAGATTGATCTTGTGCTGACAGCCTTCAAACCCGTCTCAGTGAGCTTCCCCCCGCTACGTTCGCCTCGGACCAGGTGCTCCGCGTCAACTCCGACGGGATTGCCGTGCGCTTGCTTCACGGGGAATGGACCAAGAGCCTCCTTGAGTCGAGCGTGACCAGCGAGAACCAAGTGCCTGACCTTGCAATCATCTCAAGCAGATAATCGCTATCTGCCATGGTGGCTAGGCAGGAATCATGTTTGTAGGAGCTCGCTTCCTCCCCCTGCCTCCTGCCTCGTGCCGCCCTTCACGAACCCATGGGTTACCAGCTTCTCCGAAGCGTGACCCAGCAGATCCGGGCAGCGCGCGCCCCCACGAGTTCCTCTCTGGGCGTGACCCGGCAGACCCGGGCAGCGCGCATCAACGCTTCCTCTCAGGCGTGACCTGGCAGATCGGGGCAGCGCGCATCTTTATTTCCTCCCACGCGTGACCTGGCAGAGCCAGGCGGCGCTCATTGACATCTTCTCCCAAACGCGGCCCGGTATATTTTGGCAGCGCGCATGCCCATTTTGTTTCCTCCCAGGCGTGAGCCAGCTTTTCTGGGCAGCGCGCGTCTACATTTCCTCCGAAGCGTGACCCAGCAGATCCGGGCAGCGCTCCAGGCGGTTGATGACGACACCGTGGAGGCCGCCAAGACATGCTGGCTGGCCCACGGTCTGCCCGAGACCTCCTATGCAGTCGCGAGCCTACTCCCCTTTCTGAGTCCGCGTGGTTCGGTAGGACATGCTGTCCACGGTCTGCGCGAGGCTGCCTATGGCAGTCGCGAGCCTACTCCCTTCTTTGAGGAGCCTTTTGCGCCTGCTCCTTCGGCGCAAGAAAAAGCTCGCTTCATGCCAAGCTAGAGGGGACCAAGTGCAGATGCAGCTGGCAACATTCCAAGAGCTTGGTTTTCATGCAGAGCGTTTTTGTCTCCTCATCGCAGTGGCCCCGTGCCTTACGTCAACGTGTGCGTGTGTGTGTGTGTGTGTGCGTGGACCTATCAGTGTGTTGCTCTGGACAAGCTTTTTTTTGCGATGCCAGGTCTCTGCAGGAGGCAATTTAGCAGGCAACTTCTTCTTCGTATGTCTAACCTTAGGGGCCTTTTGCCTGGCTGAGCCGCTGCCCTTGCTTGCCAACATACGAACACCATATGAAAGCGAAAGGCAGGTCGTCGCTGCCCTGCCGCATCGCAGCACTCTGGCTGTTGGCATTTTTCATCCCACCTGCCACGGCATTGTTTCCTTGTTCCCGTTGTCGTGCTAGCACGTAAGCCAACGCTGCTTGGGCCCATGATGCGCTTTGAAGGCACAGGAAGACGAATGGCGTCGGCCGTGACCATGTATGGCTCCTTGGCAACGACGTTTAGAGAAAAAATAAAATAAAATAAAAAACAACAAAAAAACACATATTGTACGGCAGCGGGTGGGGGTCGAAGTACCGCTCCGTCCACGATCAGACACACTCCCATGTGGTTTGGAAGCTCTGTGCGTGGACGACCGGGATCGCCAGCAGAGTTCAGCGGCCATTGGCTGCGCCCCCTCATCCTTATCATTCACATGGTCTCAGCGGTTTTTGGCTGCGCCCCCCACCATGTCTCATTCACAATCTTGGGCGCTCTTGGGGCAGTCTTGGGCCCCTCTTGGACCCCTCTTGGGGCTATCTTGGGCCGTTTGGGGGCCATCTTGAGGCCTCAAAAGCCCGTCGGAGGCGAAAAAGCGAGAAGGCAAACAACATCGACGTTCCTTAGGTTTGGGCAGGATTTTGGCCTCTCGGGGGGGTCCTCGGAGGCTTCGGACAGCACTTGAAACCGTTTTGGGGCCGTCTTGAGGCCTCTTGGACGCGTGTCGGAGGCTATCTTGACCCATCTACCGCTATCTTGGGCCATCTTGGAGGCCATCTTGCGCTCTCTGAGGCCCTCTTGGAGCCATCTTGGGCCATCTTGGACGCTGCTATGGGTCGGGCCCCCCCTGTCCAAGCGCATGGGGGGGGGGTAAACCTCCCAAGCAGGGAAAGGAAGGAGGTTGGAAAAGGAGACGCCCTAGACCACCTGCGCCCAGAGGGCTGGTAGGATATGGGAAGTGGGGGGGAGGACAAAAACCAAGAAAATATGGGGAATGTAGTTATTTGTGTGTATTTACTCGTGTGTCCCAGGGCCTCTTCAAATCAGGCGATCGCAAGCATGGATCAAGGGGGCGTGGATTGGCGACGGGTCCCATTTCCATTGGAGGTCGCGGATCTCCACCGCCGAGCGAGGACGCACCGGCCGCCCTTTGGGGAGGGCACTTCCCTCGATCCATGGATTTGGCGACCGCGCGCCTAGTCCATGGATGGCTAGTCCATGCTTGCGCGCCCCCGATTCTAGTACGCCGCAGAGCCCCAGAACTTCGACACCGCACGGTCGATATCTCTGGCGAGGGTGGCTGCCTCCACGAACCCGGTCTTCCCTTGTCGTACCGGCAGGATCTCGTGGACAGCCGTTCCTTGGAAAGCGGGGGTGCAGAGCCATGTGCTGCTCAGAACGCCGCTCTCGCCATGCCTGTTCTGTGGCAACTTGCCAGGATGTGCAAGGTAGGGCTGAGAATCTGCCCCGGAAAGCAGACGCAGACCTGCGAGAGGCTCCTCGAACGGACACGGGATGGGTGGCTTGGGACAAGAAGCTGGCACCGGAGCTGACTTCAGGAGAGGAAAAAACCACAGACACGATTTATCGTCGATCCCCAGGAAAACACGGGACACTGGGAAGTGGGGGGGGAACACAAACATCCAGAAAATATGCGAAAATGTATGGAATCTCGTGATTTGTGTGTCCGTGGGCCCCTTGAGCGAGAGCGGAGCTGGCACCCGGACCCGCGTGTGCAGCCGCTGTCGAAGGGCCGCGTTGCGCCTGGCCTGTAGGGCGCCTCGGGTGTGAGCTCGACATATGCCGGCACGGCGACCCCCCGCGCTTGCGGGACCAAAGCATATGCACCACCATCTCTTAACCCCATCCCTCTGCCAGGAAAGAGGAGGAGAGGAGGAGGGAGGGAGGAGGAGGGAGGAGGAGGGAGGGAGGAGGGGAGGAGGAGGGAGGAGGGCAGAGGCAGTGGTGGTGGCGGTGGTGTGTATTCTTGGGCCCCCCCCCGCTGCGGCGCTGACCCAGGCTCAGAGCCCCGAATCATCAGGGGTAACCCGGGTCAGGGCTAACTCGGGTTCGCTTTTCGGGATTCCGAACCCGAGTTACCCCGGGCCCGAGTTACCCCGGATAATTCGGGCGCCCAGAGCCCCAATTCATCAGGGGTAACTCGGGTCAGGGCTAACTCGGGTTCGCTTTTCGGGCATCCAAACCCGAGTTACCCCGGACCCGAGTTACCCCGGATAACTCGGGCGCCCAACAGGCGGACCTGTCCGGCAGTTCCCACGTGCTCGGCAGCACGAGCCAGACGGTCCGCTCGTGTGCGCCCCGAAGACGCCTGCTGTCAGAGCGGCCTGCTGTCAAATGGCCCCCGCTTGGAGGGAGCCACAGGCCAGCTCTGCGGGCGGCGACGTCGACGATGGCCTGGGCCGCTCCGAAGAGCGACTGCCCGAGCTCGCTCAGAGGATGTGCCGGCGCCGCCGCGCCAGGGATGAAGGCGAGTTGCAGGCGTGGCTGAAGGAGGGCAGGACGAGGAGGAGGAGGAGGAGGAGGAGGAGGAGGAGGAGGAGGAGGAGGAGGAGGAGGAGGAGTGGGTGTTGGGGTCGCGGGGCTGGGCGTTTGGCTCCGCTCCCCCCCCAAGTTTGGGCGTGACAAGACTCGTTGCGCTCCTGGGCAGTGTGGAGGAGGACGACGAGGAATAGGAGGAGGAGGAGGAGGAAGAAGGGAGGTGGATGAGGAGAGGCGGAGCAGGAGGAGAGGGAAAGCCCAGGAATCGGCAGAAGAGAGAGAGCGGAATAGGTTGCGAGGCAGCGACGCGTTCCGCTTCGCCGCCGCCGGCAGGCGAGAAGTTGTTCGCCGATCTGATTGCCATTGACAGCGCCGCGGACAGAGAGGCCCCCTGGGTCCCTTTGCTATGCTTTCTCGGGGGCTCTCTAGAGGGTTAAGTCATACGGGTCATCTTCCTCGCCATCCTCGCGCTCACCATCATCCCCTCGTCCTTGTCCTCTTCTTCCCTTTCCTCCACCATCTTCTCATTGTTCTTACCAGGTCGCGTTTATTGCAGACCGATGTGAAGGCAGTCGAGACAAGGGTGCCAGATATGTCTTTTCCGATCCGATCTTCATCCTTCGTTTCCGGTCCCTGATCCTTCTGGCCTTCGCCCACCCTCTCCGCACCCTTTGCCCAGCTCCTCACAAGTCATGGCCTAGATTTGTCTGCTCAGTCTGGTCACGGTGTCGGTTGAGTCGTGTTTCGCTGTCAGGCGCAGGTGGCACTGACGCGTGCTTCCATAGTACGGTACAGTACAGAAAAAGAGAGGGAGGGTGAGGGATGAGCAGGAGGGGATTGGCAGGAGGCAGAGAAAGGGGAGCAGCCTTGATAAGAAGGTCCGTGCATGCCCCGTGGGTTTCCGTGACGTGCCCGAGCTCCCATTCGCACCGCCAGTTGGATTGATGGGGGAGGGCGGAGGGAGGAGGTGGAAGGGGACGACCAATGGTGGAGGAAGAAATGCGAGAAAGGGGCCTACGCCCACAGCCCAGAATCCAGAGGGCTGGTGGGTGTTTGTCGGCCCCTGTGATCCATCGGCTTGGTGGCCCCGGCGATAAGCCGGCCCTGTGGCGGGCCTGGGCCGCGCGCAGGTTGCAGTGGGGAGGCCCTGCAGTGAAGTTGCATTCCCAGTGTGATTGGCCAGTGGGCCTATCGGTGTCGAGGCTGATTGCCCCACGTAAGGCCCGCGGCATGTTGGCGGATGCAAACCGACTCGCACTTTACGTGCACGGATCGGACCGCACGCATGTTTGCTTAGATGTCGTACGGTTAGCCGCTTCCTACCATACTCGACCGTTCCCTGCACGCAGCCCCGAGTTGGCAAGTACGGTGTCGATGGCACGGGTTGCGCCGGCGACTGTAACGTCTGTATAGCTTGAGTTATAGAGTATGGTGCTGAACACTTGCTGGTCACACCCCACATCACACGCAAGGCCCAGGCACTACCAAATTACATGGCGCAGCCACTGCCGAATTCATGCGTGCATCGTGTCAACGGGACCATGCGACGTACACATCGCTGACATA